ACATTATTTTCAATCGAAGCTGCAGGGCAATCGAAAGACAATTTGCGACATATTGCGACATACGAGTTTTTAAATTTCTTCTAAAAAAATTGCCGTTAATATACGAATATTTTAAATTAATTAACACGCGCAGACCTTCCTAAATTGACGGTTATTGATAGCCTTTTCTTCTGACGTTAAAAATTAAATTGCTTTGGCATTTACGAACGACTCGAACGAGGGTGATGGTGATATGATGATTTATTGGAATTACTTTCGTTATTTTCGCGCGCATCGTAATGATTTATTACAACGTGAATTTCCTACCATATATCTCTTCCTTTAAACAAGCTATTGGTACTGGATTTTCGATCGAAAGAAAGGCCGGAAGATAAATTGCGGATGTATCGGCTATGATTTCATGCTCCTTCAGATGATTGCAATAACGATCTCGGCAATTTCCGCGAAATTAAAAATATCAGTGCGATCAAATATTCTAAATGAAACAGGAAAAAGATTGTGGTTTTCCATATCCTAATACATATATGATACATATATCAATATATGAATGGAAAACCAGATAAAAGTAGAAAGAATAGATAATAATTGACTTATTATTAGATAAACTGTAGAAATCAATCAAAATCAATATGAATTTGCAATAAAAAGCTGATGAATGAGATTTTCAAAAGTTTATATCGCTTTTTCTTGCTTCAATCTTTTTAAATTTCTCAATTTTGATTTCTTACCGTGCATAAATCTGTCATTAAGAATTAACTAAATAAGTAATAATTGATTATTTTATGAATAAAATGCAGAAAATTCAAATCGCAACCAATATGAATTTACAAAAGAGATAGATCAATGAGAAATTATTAAAAGTTTATACCGGTCTTTTCTGCTGTTTTTAGAACCCGCAATATTACTATCCTACTGTCCACGGTCAAAAATTGATTGTTAAAAATTAAGTAAATAAATAATTGACTCTTTTATGGATAAACCGCAGAAGTTTAAATCGCGGCCAATACGAGTTTACGAAAGAAGACTGGAGATCTGTAAAAAAAATTTCCGAAGTTTACGCCTTCCTCGCTCTTTTTAAGTACCCGCGATTTTGAAACCCTGTCACTCTACGTTTTTGCCACATGAATGTTGATCCTTCTTTATATTTGTAAAGCAATATAAACAAAGCAATTTAATTTTGATAAGAGAGTGGTATCGCAATCGTAACCACGTGTCCCGTCACGTATCGCAATTGAATCAGGCAGCACCCGGGCCACCCGATCTACCTGCTGCCGCGCCGCTCGACGGGCCAGCGATCATCCGCGATCGCCCTGACGCCGCGCCGAGTACAGGCGGTAGAGATTTCGGGAACACGACGCGTCCGCGGACATCCTAACCTCCACTTGTCCGTGATGCAGGCGAGGGTTGTCGTGAAACACGCTCGTCCACCGGGTGGACAAGGAGGTCCAACGACGCGACGGACAGCTCGACACCGTTGGCTATGGGAATTAAGGCACGCTCCCGTCGCGTGTGCACACGTACTCTCGGCGCGTGAACGGCACCGGGTATCCGAACTCGTTGCCGAGATCGCGCAACACTTTGCCTACCGCGTATGCACGCGCGGGGGAGAAGACCGGATTCTACTTTTATCGTCGTCCGTCGACACGCCCGCGTCTCGCGAAAACGAGCGTGTTTGTGTGCGTGAGAGAGAGAAAGAGAGAGAGAGAGAGAACGATAATGACAGATGAGAGAGAAAGAGACGAAGAGAGAGAGAGAGGAGAGAGAGAGAGAACCCTATTTTTAATCGCGGACCACGCACGGCCGTTCTCTCCACGACCTCGGGGGGTACTACCGATCGATCTACCCTTACTTGGTGGCGGAAAACGCGCGCCTCGATTCTTAAAGCGCGGTCGGTATTGTGCGCGGCGTCTGCCCTTCTTGTCTTTTCTTTATCCCCCTTTCTCTTATTTTTCTCCCTTTCCGGAGCGCGAGACACTCGAAGCGGCGCGTTTCACGTGGTCGAGCACAAGGTACACGTCGAGCGCACTCGTGTCGGCGGACCGCGACTTACTGAGTACTCTGACGGATAATGGAGTAAAACGGCGGGTGTGTGGGAAGGGAGAAAAGACCGCAGCGTGCGTGCGTTTGGCACTGGTTCATGCGGCCGCCGTTCACGAGGCAAGGATGGAAGGGAGAACGCGCGGCAGTGGTGGATTCAGGTATCCCGGGCGCCCTACTCCCCGCGCTCGCGCTCTTTACACTCCCCGTCTTCCCTTAGGGCGACCCCGTCCGACCTGAGCTAACAGGACGTGAAAAGCCGATCTGTTCTTTACGTCCGAATAATATTCGGAATAATCCCTTAAATTGAGACGCAGCATTCGGCGGTCGCGGCTTGGTCCCGATCGCCAAATCTCGATCGAACGACGTCGATCTTTAACGTATTATTCACCACTGCTATATATTTACAGACCTTGAGATGCCGCCTTTATGTGTAGGCGTATCTACTTCAAGCTACCGTTTGTAGGGGCTACGTGATTTCTTCCTCTGCAACTCTCCCGTGCTTCGCTCTCCTTTCAGCTTCCGACACTTCAAACTTGAGAAACGCTTGCAATACGATTAATTTTACGTTTAACTTCAAGTTGTTATATCGTATTTTTTATGTATTCTTGATCTATTTTTAATGTTTAAAAATACAAGGTTTATGCGTGTATTTCCTTGCCATGAAAAGTTATAGCAAAATTTATTTTTTAATAAAGCTGTATCCGGGGAGCGATTCACAGGAGAAAGGAAAGAAGGAAAAAAGAATGAGAGAGAGAGAGACAGAGAGAGAGAGAGAGATCAATTTATCACTCTGAGCAAGGTCTAGACTTTCTAGAAACTTGGAATTACGTGAAGTTGATGACACAATAGTGAAGGAGGGACAATGATGTTTCTCCATCCTTTGTTAAGTCTGAAATACGTGCCCCATACAAATATAATCCGGTTGACTTACAAATCAAGACTTACTATTTCTAATCTGCTCTACCTTCTGCTTCTAACTTCGTATATTCAGCGAAACTCGAGAGATATAATTAAATATACTATGTATATAATGCGTTAATGATGACTAATGAAATAGTAATAGGTTTTTTTCGTCGCTAACCGGTTTATCAAACGATAATAATTTGTATATAGAATTTGTATTTGTATTGACCTTTATATAAATAGTAGAATATTTCAACTTTACAGGAAATTAACTGCTAATTAGCTGCTAATTTGCTTTAATAAAAAAAAAGATGTAGTTAGCTATTAATTTTGCTCAATCGACTTACTCTTAAAAAGCATTTTTACATTCAAATAAAACAGCAAAACGCAACATTTTTTTTTCAATAACTTGAACAAGAACAAATATCGATTGAGTTCTTCTTTGCTCATGACGTACATACATGTGTACAACTTGGTGTTTTTTTAACGTTAGTCATTGTAAGTTATATTATAAGAAATAATTCGATTTACGTGACGTTTGTTTTGTAGAAAAAAACTAACAGATAATATAATACTTTATAAAACTATAAACTATCATATTATCTTTATAAAGCTGATATATATTTTATCAGTTATATAACTTGGTAGCTGATACTTTATAAAGTTCTCAGCCATAAATTAGTCGACCGACATTACATCGACGTCGAATCAATATCGATCGACGTTGAATCGGCATGGAATCAATGTCGATCGATTAAACATTTCTGCCTGGATTAGAAAAGCACGTAGACTAACAAATATATGTAAATCTCGATCACAAGATACATTTTTTTCATTCGAAATGTAAAATACAAGAGGAGAGTAAATTATACTTTACGATGCAGAACGTCTGAACCCGACATAAAATAATTTAGTATGCTGTATGCAAAATGTTTGTTAATTTACTAAGTAATTCATTTCGATATTATATTTAATTATATGCAGATTAAGTATATGCATGATGCAAATTCACATGATCTTCTATGTTAATCATAATGACGGCAATGATGAAAAAAGTATTTAGCATTTATTTATTAACTGACTCAATGTTTTACATTTTGCGTCTACACGTTGACTCATGTTAAACTTGCAGCCATATAAAAGGAGTTGTTATTTAACAAAGACTATGTTATCTCGCTGCGTGTGAAAAAGTTTTTCAATTTACAATATATCGCTATATAACTTACAACGAACGTTAAAAAACGTTAAAAAGAGCACCAAGTTACATATGTATGTACGTACGTACGTCACGAGCAGAGGAGGAACTCAAACAATCGATTCGTGAATTAATTGACTGTACAAAAAATTTGATAGATTTGATATATGGAAGCTAACTTCATATATCCATCCATATAAGAATCGTTCAATCTCCATTTCAAGCTCTGATCGACCAATCTGGGTTGAGGAAATGACAATGATATCTATATCTCTAACGTTGCCAATTATTTTTACAAAATTCCGCTACAGATGAAAAGTATTTATAACGTGAAAGAAATTGTTTTTTCGAGAAAACTTTAGAAGCTTTTAAAGTTTAGAAATCTCTATCGCAGGAATGCTCTGTATATTAAGGCTAATTAAAATTAAGTGAAAATTTCAATTTATATATCTAATAATATTAATTGCGTTACTGCAATGTATTATAGTCTATGATTTATAAAGTATCAAGAAAACCGCGGAAACTATTTCATTTCGCATAAAATATCAATAAAAATTTAATTTATTTCAAACACTAAAAAAATCTATGCTATAAGTTATAACGTGAATTACTTAAAAAATATTTGCATAAGTTGCTCTTTTTATTGTTCTGTCTGCTGTTCTTATCGTGCGACATATTTATGTTACTAGATAGTTAACATGTATATTTAACATTGCATATTTTATAATACTTTATAGTAGTATATAGTATATAATAAATAATAACTTGTATATATTTTATCTAATGAAAGGAGAAGAGAGGAGAGTTTACGATTGGAACCAAAGAGAAGAAAGGAGTTTACGATTGGAACTAAAATACTTACCACATCCCACATCGTTAAGTATTTAAATTGGCCAGGATCGAATTTCTTGAACTTATTTTCGAGGAAAGGAATGTGCAATACATTGAAGGCGTAATACAGTGTGAAGCTGTAAGCCACTAGATTGACCAGATGGACCAAGGTGTTTAGAACGTGAGCCATCTTCATGGAATTCTGTCAAAAATTCAACGAATATATGCATTAGATGGAGCAACTAGAGCGGTAATATAAAATACTGAAATAGTATAGTAACATACATATAGTACAAAATCATGTGTCAAGACATATCAATAATACAAACAAATATTTTTAGATAAAGTGAGGAGGAATAAAGTTTCATGGAAAATTTATTTTTCTTAATCATAGTTACATATACAGTTGTGGACAAATAGGTTTCGAAACGCACTAATATTTTGCAAATGCGAACCACGATTACTGTCTCTTGACTAAAGATAGTACACCAATCGTGGTTCATATTTACAAAATATTTGTTATAAGATATATATTAGAAATCTATAAAAAATTATCGCAACTTATTTGTTCCACGACTGATATTTATACATGCATGTTATTGACCTTTCAACTCAAGACGTTCTACTTTTTGATGCATCGATATTTGCTTCGTTCAGCTCGAATATAAAATATAGCTTACAATTAGATCAGCAATTCGATTGCGATTTCTTATTCAGGCGTACATATATCCCAACTAAGTTGTTTTGTATTTAAAGAAATACAAAATAAATAAACTTTTGTGATATTAATTTGCGTCAGATTTTAGAAGTTATTTTTTATTTATATGAGCGTATATGCTTATGTGTATATATGTATGTATACATATTCTAATATTTATTTTATATATTATATATATTAAATATATTATATATATTATATTATATATATTATTTTATATATTAAAATTTATGCGTATTTAAATTTTTTAAATGCATTTCGTATGACATAAAATTATAAATACAATTACTATTATGAAGTCCGAAGACACAAATCATAAATAATCTAAAAAAAAGGGATTTTAAAAAACATTATTAACAATGTATGTGTTAACTCATTCAATGAATAAAAATGTCAGTATAGAGTCAACAATAAATTGAAATCATTAGTACAATGAAGAGCAATAAAGCTAGATATTAATGTAAATATTCAACAGTATATTTCGAAATGACTAAACGTTTCGACATTAAGCCATCCTCAGAAGCAGAAATTACACTGAGAAAAAAAATTTGTTGAAAAACGCAAAATTTGTTTCATCTTACCAAAATATTTAGTCCGATAGGATCAACTAAACGTTACTACGATGGCACAAAATAATTTGTTACTATTATAAACAAAATACTATTTTTTAACTAAACTAGATCGGAAGAGCACACGT